ATTAAACATACTCATAGGTGCCAAAGGAACGTGCCACACGGCAGGCGCAGCACAACAGACTTCTTTGCAAAGCTAAAATAAGCTCAGGAAAGTTTGCAATTAAGCCACTTGGCAATGTTGAGTGCATCACTGATAAAAAATGTGATAACAGCGTATTAAAATAAATTCAATAAAAAGAACAAAAGCTTAAGCTTTGTAGTGGTGGCACCTTGTGTGGCTAAAGTGCTTACAAAAAGGTTTAATCTATGAAACTTTATAAACAAAAAACAAGAGGACCATATAGAAAAACTTTCGGCAAAAATCAACATGAGTGTCTGAATGGATGCTACAACTAAACATTATTCTTACATCTGCGCCAGTGTAAAATAAAATGTCTAATATCAACAGTTTGAATGTCTATGCAATTGGTAGCTAAACTGTGATAATTACATATTTTATTTGTTTTGTTTAGGAAACATTTTGTATTGCTTTTAAATACAATGTGTTTCATCTGCGCACCCTAAATTTCCCAGTAAAGGGCCCTTACTCACTTGCAAGTCGGCGACTGTCGCTTCCAATTCATCAATTTTGCTCGATAACTTTTCCTTTGTACGCTCCAATTCTGCAACTTCGGACTTCTTCATTTCCAATTCCTTTGTAAGCTTTTGTATGTCATGTTTGTCATGGGCTGACAAGTCGCGCAGGCGCACCAGTGTCTCCTTTAAACGTGAATTTTGCTGTTCTAGTTGTTTGAATTCATAGGTGGAGAGGCTACCACCTTCAGCGGAGATTTCACCAATAGAGGTTTCTGCTTTGTTTTGCATTTCTGAACGCATTAGTTCCAAGTCCACTTGTAATTCCTCTATACGTTCCCTTGCAGAGTCCAACTCGAGCTGTAGAGTATCTGCCTTTTCTTCAGCCATTTCTTTGTCCAAGGTGATGAGCTCGACATTATCGGCGAGCTCAGACATTTCTTGCGCATGTCTTTCACGGGCTTCGATGGCATCTTTTGTTTCTTGCTTCGCACGTTGTAGTTCCTTTTGTAGCGATGATTGTGCAGTCATAATTTTGCTACGAAATTCTTGCAACTGTTCAAATTGAATTTTCATCTTATCAAATTCACGTAGGCGATCTTTGTCTTCATTACGCCGTTGTTTTAAAGTTTCCAATTTCTCAGTTAAATCGGTTACTTGCATTTGCAAATCCTCGATGAGTTTCTGTTGTTCAGCGGCAGCGGCCTTTTCTTCAGCAGTGGGTCCTTGCGGTACAGCGGTAAAAGAGGGCGAGCGCATTGGCTGCAATGGCGTAAATTGCGGCTTGAGGATCTCAAGGAAACCAGTTTCGACGAAAGAAGCACGTTTCGAAGTTGAATGTGAAGCATTGCCATTGCCACCCTCAGCCGTGGGTATGGACGAACTGGATGCCGTAGCAGAACCAGCGGTGTGATCTCTGGCTGTTACACTGGGTGGTTGTAAACTCTTCCGGCCGCCACTGGAACTACTTGCTGTACTGCCACTACGTTCTATCAACGAGGTGGACAGCTGCGAACGTGAACCCAGCAATGATTGGCGGCTGGAAGAGAGCGAGTTACGCGACCCGCTCAACCGTGCTTTAGTGGGTTGGGTCATGGGTGTTCTAGCGCTGCTGCCACTACTTGCCGAGTCAGCTATGTCTTCTGATGATTTCTTCGAATCGGGACTGCCACCAATGACACGAAGCTGAGTCGGACGCACAAACATGCCACAATTTTCACCGCATTCAAAGTATGTCTGACCTTTAATTGTGCCATTGTTTTTACCCTTTGGTTCATCAAGCACCACGCCCACCCACTTGCCAACGGCGAAGCTGGTCATACCAACGTAGGCAACAGTTCCTTGAAGATCCTTGCCGGTTATATCGACCCGCGCGCCCACCTTCAAACTCCGCTCCGACATTAGGTCGGTTTTAAGTTAACCTCTACCGCAAGCGAAAATGTATATAAATAAAAATTTCTGTATGTCTGTGTGGGCAAATAGCTGCGTTTAAAAACGGAGAAGCCTGCAAATAGTGTTTCCATAAATTTTCAGCTATACAAGTAAACATACGTAAGCATAATAGAGCAAAACACATATTAACAATATGACAGCACAAATAGGATGACGTACGCCGATACGACAAATCAGCGACTCAAACAGTTAACTATTATGCCAACGTCGTACGGGTGTAGCAAAACATGGCAAGAAAAGTAATAACACAAATTAGTCATCCTCCCTGTTTTTAGTATTGGCTTACGCTCTAGACAATCGAGAAAACTTCACCAGTGGCCATACGATCTTTCTATTTTGTCTAGTCACTACATACCAAATCTTATTGTTGCTTCTGTATATTTCCTAAATGCTCACTTCGATTCAAACAAACAATTTTCTTGACTTTATAGCAAATTTTATAAGCTTTCGATTAGTGCAAAAACAGGTGAAAAATATTTGACAATCGCTATTGGAATCTGTGCCGAACAGTTGTCAAATGGAAAGGCGTCAAATAAGACTTACCGGGCAACTTTCGACAAACAGCTGTTCGTTGGCGCTGCTAGATATTTGCTAAATTGAACTATTTTTCTGGAGATAAACTCTATTTTCCATTGCCCGCTAGATGCCTCCATAATGAATTTGAAAGTAATTTTAACGGAAATTATTCATACATAACTACGGTGAGCTTTCTGGCTTTTTGGGTATTTTTTGTAAATAAATTAATTTTGCTATCCTTTATATATACAACCTTTTTTTTAATTTACCCAAATAGAAAATTATTTTATTTTTTAAATTAATAAAAAAAAAAAAATATTGGAATAGACCATCAGTTGTTCTTAAAGCCTATTTGATGTTCGAATTTAGTTTTAGAACCCAGGACTTAAAATTTTCCAATAATGTGGCGCTAAAAGCTATTCTGAGCTGCTGAAGAAACAGACTTTATAACCGTCCTCAAGACATTCGGGTCTATGTAATTGGAACGGACCCGTATTTTTTTTAGGGCCCTCATCTATTCGGAATTCTGTCTCTACAACTACTAAGAGTGTGTTGTGCATAGTGGTTACAGGGCACTGCAGTCTCAAGAAACACTTGTCGAACATGATAACAGTTTTTCTAGCAAACTGTCGATTTTGTGACATAGAACAGGAAAATTCCAGGACACCTGATTCTAGATTGGAATTAATCAGAGTGCCAGATCTTTGTGACCATGTTTGTGATATATGAGAAGGCACAATAGACCACAGGTCAAAGGGCAAAACCTCAATTATTTCTGTCTATAAATTATTTTCTGTTTATGTACGGTGTATTTAACAGCAACAGACACGAAATTTAATCCGACCAAGGGCTATCAACTCGGCTGTTGCTCCGAAAATTACAACACTCAAGGCAAGTTTCCTATTAACAACTATTTTGAAGCCAATGTACATCCAAATCCGTAACTCAAAATAGTCTCGTTATTCACTAATTTACCCAAATTGCCATGAGAAAGCATGTGAACTTAATAAGAAAATTGGATTGTTACGACTTAATTCACTTATTGAGCTCTCAGTAGAGGTTCGCACACAGTGGCCCGAATATATATGCTCGTAAATTTGGTATTTATTTTTAGATGGATTTTGGTCCTATGAAGTAATGATTTGAAACATTGCGCTGAGATTAAAAATGCAAAAAAGAGAGAGACAGATTTTATGTAGGAAATGATTCTCAATATTCTCTTAATTCCCATTTGTAGTGCCAATTATACCACTTTCTTTCTCTTCCCTCGATTAGTTCATCCATTTCTGAAATGGACTCTAGAATTTGCATTCCCTTCATATCATATTTATACTAGAAACGGACACACATTGTCTTTTCTAAGTTAAGCCCTGTGATATTATTATTTCCTGGTCTCTACTCAGTTGTCACGTGTTCACTCATATATCTTATTTATAGAGAATAAAGATTCATTAAGTATTAAGTTTAGAGGAATATTTTCGGAAGTCACTGTATGTCCACGTACGTTTCTTATAATCTACATATATACATATACATATGTATGTCTATGCGAGTATATAATCTAGGAAAGAGCGAATATAGTAGATTTGATAATGATTATTTGTTCTTTTCCATGCCTAAAACCTCACTAATCCAGTTGGTATTTTCAATTGAGGCAAACTGATGGAAAATATAAAGTGCACGGTTCAGAAGAGTAGCTCCTACGAAACATTAAATACCTAGTTATGTTGCATATCATATTAAATCAAAAGTTAGGTTTAGGAAGAAGGACAACATCAAATACTTTTTACCGTTAGCATATTATAAAGAAACACTAGAAATATCTATTTTCGGTATCTTTTGTGAAATTCCTTTATTTATTTTCATATAATTAAGACTTTCGATATTACTAAGCGGTTTTACACAAAAGCTAAAAATAGGCAGTACAGAGGTTCGTTGTAGAATTATAATCCGTGGATCCAGATAGATCTCTCTGAAAATGTTTTACATCTGCCGTACCTTTATGGCATTTGGATTGGTTTCGGTCTCTGATTTTTAGTTTCGGCACCAGTAGAAGCAGAATAACTTTCTCGGTCAGAGGTACAGGTGAAGGATTGAAGTGGACCAAAACTTTTTCGTATATATGTTAGTCTTAGATTCCAAAATCTTAGTATTAACTATCTTGAACTTAAGTAAATATTTTAAAGCCAAGAGAAACCCCATTTCCTTAATTGTCACTGCCTCTTAATTATTATTATTATTATATACATATGTAAACCACTTTCGGCAATTTTCGCAAAACGTGCACTGGGTTTACATTGTTAGATATGCTTTTCCCTTCTACCTCGGCATTAGGTACTTTTTCCTTAGTATGAACGGCGATTGTTGTCGACACTCGTAGTCATAAAATGAAATTATTCTTTATTGTTATTGTTGAAACTAAGTATCAATAAAAAGTTCATTCGTTAGTTATTTAGATTACTAGATTGGGGAATCAGTTTCTAAATTTTTAGCAAATCTTTACATTCAGTGGTCGCACACACGGCACGAAGCATACTCAAAACTCGGAGGATTTGAAGATTTAAAATAACGAATATCTTGTGCTAGCTTAAAGTCTCTTAAGTCATTTAAACCTCAACAACAAAGCACTCAATATATAAAACAATGGAAAAAGAGGTGAGTCACGCTTTGAAATATTGTGGTACAACAAGAGGTCGAATGATTCGTTTGATTCGTATGTGAGCTATAAGAAAGTGCTGAGTCGAGGATGTGTAAGGATTGTGACAGAAATGCGATTTGTAAGTACTTGAGTGATTCTGGTTCGAGGATTTTCTTCAGTGTCGGACCCAAATTGCATAGTCAAACCGAACATCTATTAACGAACAGTTGATAACAAAATAGCGAGAGCGCGTAGTGAGCTACACACTGAAGTTAAAGAGAAAGTGGATAAAACTAGACAATTTTATTCTGAACATATGTTTATCAGGGAGAGTGGACCGAAAATGTCCATCCGTGTCCGGCTATCTACTTATATATTAGCGAATTATTCAACCGCATTATAAGTTTTTGAGATATCTAAACTTTTGCATACGTTCTTATCTCTTATGGAACTTTTGTATTTTTGAACCCGTTCACGCTTCACTGTGGCTGATAAATAAATAATACTACTACTACCATCTATATGATTTCTATTAGTTAGATTATAGCTATTAGTTAAGGGGGTATTCTATTCTAGAAATCAAATTTTGGGCAGTTTTTTGAATTTTATTAAAAAAAAAACCCAAAAATATTTTTACTATAAATTTTTTTATGGTGTTTTTATTGATATCTTAAGAATACAGAAAAAAAAATTTACAAAAAAATATTTAAAATTAAAATAATTAGAGGGGGGAGAGACAGGTGTAAAAAAATGACGAATCCTGGTGACATTGATCCAGACTCTTCTGGTGGTCTGAAAAAAAAAAAAAAAAAATCAAAAGAAATTCTTATTCAGTAAGGACGCTGTTATAGTCCCTACCTCGGGGAACACGAGGTTTGCGCATTTTTTTGAAATTCCTGAATTTTTTAAAAATATTAAAAACAAAAATTTTGACACGATGCTGGTAGAAACGATAAAGGATTACATAAAGAAGGTTCACACAAAATTTCAAGTAAATCGGTTGTATAGAACTTGAAATAATGCCGGTACCGTGTGGAAAAAAGTAGTTTCGAGAAAAACGCGTTTAAAAAAGTGAGTCAAATTTCAGGCAGTGTAAGTCATTTATTAGTGCGCTAGGTACTACGTCACTAAAGTAATGTTTCATTGTGGAGGCTGAATTTACCGACTGTTGTGCCAAAGTTAACTTCCTTGCCGAAGATACCTTCATTTTGACATTGTGGCGGGGCAGCTCTCATCTTTGGTCACATCTTCTTTCTCTTCCGTCGGGGTGTGGGCGGAAATGAGCAATATATTGAAGAATTTCTCTTTGATGCTGATTGTGGCAAGACGTTTCTCCACCGGAGTGAATGGCAGTACTCGGCGACAGAGTCTCTCTCCCATCACGAATCCCACACCGAATTTGCGCTCCCTTATATCGCCTCTTTAGTAAATGCCACAAGGACTTACTCGTCTCAGTCCTTGTCCCATCTATTGCACTTCTTGGACGGCGGAGATGCCAGCCTTTACTCTTACGAGACCATCAGAATCGCTGCATTATCTTGTTAAAAAATGAGCTTAGGATCAGGGTTGTGAATTTCTAACTCAAAAATTTGGTATTACAAATTAGATTATTATGTTTTATTAAAAAAATTTAATTTAATACAAGACTCACCTCCAAAGTTTCGTCTTTTTTTAATTTCCTTGGGGAGCATTTAAATGTCCAGTATTTATTGTTGCCACTCGGACTATCTGAATTAAATTTTTTGTCGCCTGATAAATAACTTTTTCCTGTCTTCGTCTGTATTTCTCAGTAAATCAAAGTCTTGCCATTTTATGCCTTGGCAAAAGTACAGGTTTCGAAACTTGTTTTCTAGACGAGATGCGAATTTCGCTCCAAATTTGTTGAACGCCACCGTGGGACTACAGGAAAGTTCATTATTTCATTAATATCTCTCGAACATAGCTTTCCATCAGCAGCAATGCATTCCATAACGCATTTATTTCTCTTTCTCTATTAGTGGAGTCCTTCCTGCTCATTTGTTTTTCCAATTTAATAAATGAGATATGCATATCTTTTCGTAGAGTGAAATGCAAGAAAAAATTATATTCTAAGTAAGTCGCAATTTCGCTAATAGTAGGAAGAAAATAATCACCTACACCCTCTCCACTTTGTTAGAAAGTAAGTATTACCCACCTCCGACTCGATATTTCTTTACTCGAAATATTTGAATTCTGCTCTCTAAAAGAATTCGAAAATATCCATGTGAAAGCACTCGAATTTAAAGTAATATTATATATCACTCTTTATATGTACATACATACATATATTGGAACGAAGTTCTTTATCGCGCGTGTTGCGACGGGGCTAGCCGAGAAATTGTGTCCCGTTAAATCTGAGCGTTAAATGCGTGTGGTGTGTACAGAGTGGGCATCGCTCAACATTTACGTGCACGTGTCGTGTGTTGATTACAATTGTCACATCGGGTTGACGTATTTCCTTCACTGATAATTGCTTGATTGAATCATTATTATTATTCGGAGGATAGAACTATTTGTTGAATTTGATGGGACGAGTGAATTAAAAAAAAAAAGAATACGAATAGTGTGTAGTGGTAGCGTCGTTTGCTTTGTTTGTGTGCACGTGTCAGTGTTTACTATACCTCCAAATACAATTAATGTGGTTGCGTTCATAACCATTTTCATTACGATTTCGTGATAAACAATGGAAAGAGAAGGAAGTGAATTGAAAAAAAAAAAACTAAAATCACGATTCGGCACCGAAATCGATGTAAGTTAATAAATAAAAAAAAAATACCAAAAAATTACCAAAAATGGTGAAATTAAACTGTTCATAGCAAAAAAATGAATGTACATAATTTTGTAATTTATAACTTTTAATTTACAGTGTTGAGGAAATACTTCAGCAACGAGGAAAAAAAAGGAGGCACGCTGTGTAAAGACAATACAAACACAGTCATTACATTTGCATAGCCAACAAAAAGGGGAGTGCTACCAAACGAAGAGGAAAACAGCCGCGCAGTACCAGAAAGAATATCGACAGAGACAAAGGGAGAAGAAAAAACAAGAATCAGAAGGATTGACCTCGGTTTATCAGGAAACGGATATTTCTGCGGCTCAGTGTGTGATGGAAAATGGTATAACACTAGTCATGGCGGTCATCTACGTTTCGCCAAATCAGAAAATGCAGGACATTCAAGAGTTCATTCACAAAGTTCTGCTAGAATACACAGAAGAAGGTTCTCGTGTACTTCAAAGATATAATAAAGATTATTCTAAACTGCCATTAATTTTGGCAGGAGATTTCAACGTCAACTTTGCTGACAAACAATCCGAACCACTCACCCAATTCCTGGGTGAAGAATTCAATTTAAAAATGAATAATGACCCAACAATATCCACAACAAAATATAATACATCAATTGATGCAGTTTTTTCAAGATACTTGGACAAAATTGAATCTAAAACATTCGTATCCTACTTTAGTTACCATAAGACACTGATTTCTGTTATTGAATGATCTAATTTAAGTAATGTAATAGAAATCCGAAATAAAAAATTATTAATAGAATAATGACTATTTTATTATGACGAAATTCACCTGCATCGACCAATATTATATCAAACAACGCGCAGGCATAAAGAACTTCGTTCCTTACGCGTGTTCGACTACACACTCTAGTTTTTATGTCTGTTATTTGTACTATTGCAGATATTTGAAAACAGTTATAAAGTTATCTAGATGAAGTCATTAAGGCGTTACAACTCCTTGATTTTATTTTATTTTATTTTTTATTTGCTTATGCCAGTTTTTATACCAATTGTTTGTTTTGTTTCCGAAGCTTCCAAAGTTTTTTTTGATTATGTCAGTATTCGACATTTCTAGCAATTTTCAGTTCGGATTTTCACTGATTATTTTGGTTTATTGTACTTAAGTATATGGCATTTCAGTCTCAAACGTTTCTCAAATCGAATGCAACTTACATATGTATGTATATCACTATTTTATTATACCAATTGATATACTATATGTACGTATTTATACCAGTTGTACATATGTATGTATGTATGTTCGATTCAACGTTTTTCTGCGGACCAAGTTCTGCCTCTTTTTTAAAACATTAGATATTACATTTATACCAGTCTGTCTGTTCGATTCGCCACTGCTCAGGGTTTCGCAGTTCGGAAACAGCTATTCTTATTTGGTAATATAAATTTTCTATACAAATGCTGATTTGTATTCGCATCTGCTTATGTACATACATATATTGTATATCAACAAATAAGAAATTTCTTTGCGTTGTAAACATGTAAATAAGTGTAAACGCAAACTGAGAGCTTGAAATTCCGCTCCGATTTCGTAAACAGTTCAACATTCGATGTAAACAAATGCAAAAGCTGCACAAACAAATGAATAATACAAACATTGATAAAACTTTGACATTTTCGAATGGAAAATAACAATTTCGTAAGCATAGAATAAAATGAAAACAATACTTTCAAGTGCTTAAGCATATTTTAGTAATATATTGAAACTAGTTTCAGAGCAAATAAAAATGTTTGGAAGAAAACGTGACAAAAAGCATGTTCTCTTCTTCTATACATATATAAGTATGTATGTATGTATGTACATTTAATACTTCTAGGTATTGAAGCACAGTCTTGAGTATTTATTGGGATGATGTGACTTTTAAGTGTCGTTTCGGTCGTTTTTAACATGTCATGATCTGAAATTTTTTCGTTTTTTTTTTCATTGTATCCAGTTATGACTACAATGCCGTCATTGAAAGTTATAGGCCAGAACAATCTCTACAAATTATTAAATTTTATTATTAAAATGATCGTTTTGCAATTGTTACTTTCCGTGTGCTTTTCCCATTTTATGGACGAAATAATCGTACACCTGTGCATCGTAAATTTACTTATTCGTCAAAGTATTGAATATTTCGTGGGCTCAATTTCTCTACATAATGTTTAAATGCCAATAAGACAATGAACCGCCCGAAGAAGTGAAAATATTGCTGCCGTTCAGGCAAGTGTTGCTGAAGACCGCAATTTGTCGATTCCAAGGCGTTCTCAAGAATTGGGACTGTCTCAAACCCAAACCTGACGGATTTTGATAAAGGATTAGGGCTTGCATCCGATTGCTGATTTTGCCTTGGAGCAACATGAAAATGATAACATTTTTTTTTTTTTAAATAATCTCCAATGAGGCTCACTTTCATCTATGTGGTACGATCAATAAAGAAAACTGTCGATTCTGGTTCGAAGAAAATCCACAAATTATTCATGAACAACCATTACATTCACCTAATTGACAGTCCGTACTTCTTTCGGAACAAAGCTGGTGCCGCCGTTAATGTCAATGAAGAGAAGTATGGGTTTGGAGATCCGATTATTTCAAGAAATTGTGACATTGAATGGCCTCCAAGAAGTTGTGGTTTGACACCATTAGACCACTTCTTGTATTGTTATTTGAAGTCATTGGACTTTAGCAATATACCAGACTTGATTCAGGGGAAAAAGTGCTCGAAAATTGGGTTCATTGAAATCATTCCTGCAAAAGAAGTCGTGGAGGCTTGAATGATTATATCGATTGGACTTCACATTAAATAATTTTTTTTTCCGTAAAATTTAATTTTTTTTAAGAATTCATATCACTCTTAAATGTGACTATGCTAAATATTTAATCTGACTTTGTATATGCATATAAAAAATTATTAATATAGTATTTTCAGTACATAAACATTTATATATATGTATATGTACATATGGATGTATGTATATATAAAATAGTGTGTTATACTTAAAAATGACCAAAATAATCAAGAGCTTGAGCACAAATTAAATTTTAAATGCGCATAAATTATCGCACCCTGAACCCCCCACTATAATATGAAAAATCGTCGCAAACTAGAAAATTTGTAAAAATACGCACACAACTTGCACTATGAACAGCACGTGAGGGTATTAGAATACATAAAATTACTTAGTATGAGGAAAATAATTCTACACATACATGCACACAAATTGACGTCTATCATACGCATGTGACTGTGTTAAAAAATTTGAAGTGGGCACTAGTTTACGCCCACTTTTTTCAACCCAACATACACTTCCATACATATTTACATATCGTCACCTGAAATGCTAAATAACGTAACACCATTTTCGGAAATTTACAGTGAGGAATGAAACACGAAATACAATGGAACATGAGTGCAAATGTAATATTGGTTAAAACTGCTTTATATCTGAGCGCAGAACCTGAAAATGTTGAACATATGTATGTAATATTATGAATGCAATTTGAAGTAGTGAAGCGTAATCAATAAGACACTCAGTTTCGAATTTTTTGATGATACGTTATTTTGCATTTCAGGTGACGATATATTTATATACATACATAGATACATACATATATGTATTCGTATTTAGTATATTTGATGTGTCTACTTAGTAGCGCTCATGGTATTCGACTAACCGGATTAACGCGATAGCTTATTATCCGAATAGTAATATTCGGTTTGCAGTACCCGGATAGTCGTAAGTCGACTATTCGAATATTCGAACTTCTACAACTTTTTTCTGTGTATATACAATAATTTAATAGAATATTTGTATCAAAAATCAAATTTTTCTTGGATTTCAAATAATTTTGATTTTTAATCATTTGAAACAGAGCATCTATTCCAATGGTCGCAATTTTACGCCTATTCGAATACTATTAATCGGTTAATATTCATACGAACATTTTACGAAATTATCTTCGAATAATCGGTTTTCGGGTTATTTCAATAACTTTAAGAGACCTACTACATAGTATTTATCAAGAAATAAAAGCAAAGCAATAATATAATCGCATCATTGAAAACAAGCCGCAATAAAAAAAATGAAAAATTATAAGCGACAAAAAAAAAAAAAAAAAATTGTACTTTGTACTGTACGAACAACAACAGGCCAACAGGCTAACAGGCTATTGCATTTTTATTGTTGTTGTACATTGTTACCAAGTGAATGTTGGCACACACCACTGCTAACCGCAATAAATTATTGCGATACTAAATGTAAATACCGCACAACAACAAGTTGAAATATAAAAGCCACAACCGAATGTTGTTGCAATTCGAAGTACCATCAAATGAGAATGGCTGAGCGAACTTTTAGATGTTTTTTAAATAATCAATCTTTCTTATGTTTACTTAATATTTAAAAGTATATTGAAAACACCTCGTGTCACTTCTAGAAAACAAAAGTTTACGATCCTGTTATCAAGATGTTGTAACTGATTTGATAATATGGCTGAGAGTTGGCAATGACCGCAATAAAAAAACTTGATCTCTTGAAATCAGCATAAACACCGAAAGTCACACTTATAGTGTGATTAAAAATCCCTAAAAGCCACAAATACGCAGACGTGGAAGAAAGCTAGGACTTTATAATTTTTTTATTATACATATATATTACTCTGGTAGTGAACGAGAACAAGACGAAATATCTCCTGTCATCAAACAAACAGTCGCGACTAAGCTCCCACGTCACTGTTAACTTCGAACTTGTAGATAATTTCGTCTAGCTTGGAACCTCGAAATCCAATGCAGAATAACTCTTGCCAACAGATGCTACTTTGGACTGAATAGGCAATTGAGCAGTTAAGTCCTCTCTCGACGAATCATCATCATCAATAAGGAAGAAGATATTTTCCTACTCAACTATGCAGTTACGAGATATGTGCGAGACGTGCCGAGTTGACAGCCCTTGGTCATATAAGTATTCAGGTCCGTTTCGCTTATGTAAGGTCTGTCTGCCCTAATATGTATGTATATGGTGCATAAGCATTGCTAACATCTAAGAGCCGCCAAGTCAAAAGGTTAAAGGTCGCACCAAGGATTTGCGTAAGAAGTACTGATGAAAGCGTCGGGAATATAAAACGGTGACTAGGCTATAGAAATAGTGTCTGGAGCTTGCATTTCTATAAATGCTGATTAAAAATAGTAATAAAACAAGAATTGAATTTTAAAATCTATAATTAGTGACAAACTTGAGTAACAAATGCAAAGTGCGAAAAGCATTCGACGTTTACGTTAATTATTGTCAATTATCCAAATGACAACTGAATTCAAAATCTCATTATAGTTATATGAATAGGTATGTATAATAATGACCACATTATCTAAAATAGTTTAAACTTCTAGCGGAACGTATTTGCTGATTATCTTTGACTGGATCGAGATTATTATTCTGGTACAGCTAGCTTAAGCTTAGAGGTTTATATAGAACTAATACTCCCAAGTTGGTATTTACTTAAGAATTTAGACAAAATTGAGGCTGCACACAATTTAAATGGCAAACTGAAAACCCCATTCTTTTGGTAAAACTCAATTTTATTATTCAGCAGAGATGCCATCGACTTCGATACACAGATTCTTGGTTTGAAAAATTTCAAAACGATATCTTAAAAACTGAGGGACTAGTTCGTATAAATACAGACAGAGAGACGTACATGGCTAAATCAATTCAGCTCAACATACTGATCATTTATATGTATAGTATATATACTTTATAGGGTCTCCG